TGTCATGTCTCCTAAAGCTCCTCCACTAGCTGCATCTATCATACTCCTGTCCATTGTGTTCATCCCCTCATAAAAGTACTGTAGCAGTAGCTGTTCTGATATTTGGTGGTGAGGGCAACTTGCACAAAGTCTCTTGAACCTCTCCCAATACTCATATAAGCTCTCTCCCATATGTTGCCTGATACCTGATATATCCTTCCTGATGGCAGTGGTCCTGGAAGCAGGGAAAAATTTCTCTAGAAAGACTCTCTTCAGATCATCCCAGCTCGTTATGGAACTAGGAGCTAAGTAGTACAACCAGTCTTTGGCAAGATCCTCCAAAGAGAAAGGAAAATCCTTCAGGTATATGTGATCTTCAGGAACATTTTGTGGCTTCATGGTGGAGCAGACTATATGGAACTCCTTGAGATGCTTGTGTGGATCCTCACCTGCACGACCATGAAACTTGGGCAACAAATGGATTAGTCAAGTTTTAAGCACAAATGGTACATCCTCTTCAGGGTATTGGATACATAAATTTGCATAAGTGAAATCAGGTGCAGCCATCTCCCTGAGAGTCCTCTCATGAGGTCCAATAGGTTGACCCATGTTATTAGTTTGGAAATTATCAGAAGAAGGTATATTAGGTGCAGTACTCTCACTATGACTATCTAATGGTTCAAACTCAAGAGATGAATTCCTAGAATGTCTAACTAATCTATGAAAGATTCTGTCTATCTCGAGATCAAAAGGTTGTAAAAGGTCAGGATTGCTCCTAGTCATGCATTATATTCAATAATTCATGTATTTCCCAAGAGTTAAAAAAAAATTCCTAAAAAAAATCAGTTGTTTACTGGAATGACAACGGTAGACCGTGAACAAGTACACCAGGTAGGTTCCCAGGAAAGAGAAGTGGGTCACTAATGGACACACTTAAGTACCAAGTCTTTCCTAGCCAAAACCCTCCTAGACATGCACTCTCACACTACCAAGCTATATGCAGAGTTTCCTATGAGAATGGAAATTATAATTTTTTTTAAATAAAGCTAGAAAAATAAATTTAAGATGAAATTGTTTTTTTTTTGAATTATTATTTATATTTATTTTTTTTTGTTTTGTTTTTTTTAACCCAAAAGAGTTTTAGAACAACAGTGGGCTATCAAAATAGTATTAAGAGAAGTAAGAATGTTAAATTAAATAGAAAATAAAATAAAATATTCAAATAACTGAAAATCAAATAAAATATTAAAAACTAACAATCAAATAAAATATTTAAATAACTAAAAATCAAATAAAATATTCAAATAACAGCAAACCAAATAAAATATTAAATAACTGAAAATGAAATAAAATATTTAAATAAAATAAAATAAAATAAAAACAAAAAAAGAAAACAGAAACATAAAATAAAAATTGAAAACCTAGACAAAAATCTTGGTCCCGAACAACTGCGCCAAATTTGATCGATGTCGTACTTCGGTCAAATAATTAAAATAGATAAATGTAGTACTAGGAAGCTTTCCTAGGTCGTCTCCCAAAGACCACGAATTTCTATCAAAGCTTATCAATTTTTAAAATTAGAACAGTAACAAAAAAAGGGGGAGTTTTTCAAAATTAAAATATTAGATGAAACAGAACAAAAACAGATTATAAAAATGCGGATTAAAAGAAGATTAAAATGCAATTGATTTCCTGATTCTAATGCAGTGTCACTTATCCTAGATTACGAAATTAATTCGAAATTAACCAACTAAGCGAAGATAAATCCCAAATTATATTCTAATTCGAAATTAATCAACTAAGCGAAGATTAATCTCAAATTAGCTTTAACCCTTGTTCCAATATGAAATTAATCAACTAAGCGAAGATTAATCCCAAATTATCCTTATACAATTAAGCATTGCATACATCACATAATCTCATCTCTAACACAGAATTAAGCAAACTGTGATACTAGTTTCGGTTTATTAAGCATAAACATATTATAATTCAACACTGAGATTAGAGATGAAGAGTTAAGAGAACAAACAAAATAGAAGAACAAAACCTCAAAGATCTACTGCATTCTCCTTGGAAAATCAATATAAAGATTTAGCTATCCATGGAAAATCGAAAACACAAAAGAAGAGACATATGCAAGGCAGATTCCATAGTGAATTTTCGACTTCAATTTTGGCCACCTTATGATTGGAATTTAACAATGCTCATGAGAGAGACAATTGTATCCTTTACTCTTAGCTTTATAACGCACTTTGAATCGTCGAATTTGGAGTTTCGTAGCTCTAGATATGTCCTTCTCACTGGGAAAAGGTCAGTTGCACGATGCGGCTTCGCGTTTTTCCTTGGTGTCTTTGATGCCTGACTGCCTCTCCTTTATATAGATAACCCTAACCCTAATCTTAATTTAGGTTTGGGTTCAACTAGCCCACAAAACACATAAAAAATTTAAAACAAGAAAACTGATTCTAATGGACAGTTGGCATGACATCTGACCCAATCTTCCAAGCCCAAAATTGCTTTAAACTGTCCTGAAAATAATAATGAGCAAAAATTAGATCAAATAGATCCAAATTAATAAAAATTTGAATTATTGGCCCAATGAAGTCCAATTAATAAAAATACACTAATAATAGACAATTAAACACAATACACCAATTAAGATAAATATATAAAGATAAGAAAATGCGGGAAAATAATGGCTCATCAAATTTCTCCATGTCCAATAGTCATAATGCTCATTCAATTTTGAAATTACATTACAGGTTATAGAAGTTTGCAACTTCTTTTATTTGCAGTGAAAGTTAAAAAGGTTGTTATCTCAGAAAAATTGATTCTGTTATTTGTTCGTAAAATAAAAAAAGGTAAATATATAAATTTAACTTTACAACTGATAAATTAAAAAATAGAAAAAATAACTTTCATGTATTAACAAAAATAGCACCCATTTATTAATACCTTGTATACTACGTACAAAATTTAAATTATAACAAATAAATGAATTTAAACACTAAAAATAAATAAAAATATAAAAAAATAAGAATGAATCGAACGAATAATATAAGAATTTGTGTTATTAATTTAAATATTAAAAAAATATATAAATTATACGGATCAGAGTCTTATATGTGAAGGACAGATTATGCAGGACAAACCTAAATATGTTAAGAATTGAAAATACTTAGCCTCACTTTTTTTAGCGGGTTTCTCGTATTACTACTCTAATTAAAAACTATTAAACATATTTTTAATAAAGATTATTTATTATTAAAATTAAATTATAAATAATATAACTAAAAAATAATTATAATATTTTTTTACCATAAAATATTTTCCTCCTTAAACAAAATCCACATCATATTTTTAATAATGATTATTTATTATTAAAATTAAATTATAAATAATATAACTAAAAAATTACTTAGAATATCTTTTTACCATCAAATATTTTTCTCCTTGACAAAAATCCACATCAACCAAATTTTATTATTTTTAATTTAAAGAGACTTTTTTCTTTATATAAACCAGTGTTTGAATTCCAACCATTCCCATACTATATTTTATCATGGCATATACAATTAAATATAGAATAATGATACATTGATAATATTTTTTTATATGATAATTTTCTTAAAATAATATATCTATAACGAAAATTATATATATAATACTGTGGAAAGAGAAATTAGTTTTTTAATCAATTTTTTATTGTTTATTATAATATTTATCTTATATCCCTATCTCCTATTATTTCCAATTTCTTTTGAATATAAATAAAATTAATTAAAAATTATTCGCTTTTCTCCCCTTCTTTGATTAATCATATATTCCACTTAATTATTTCTCTAGAATATAAATTAATAAATAAAAATAATAAACAATTTTTTTCTTGCACTTTCGGTCTCTTAAATTTTTCCATCTTCTTTAAACTCCCCTCCCACACTTATTTTTATGAATATATTATTATAAAATGGTTATCGTAGATGAAAAATGAGTCCCTGAAAATCTGGTAAATTTTAAATATATGACTTCTTAATTTACGTGTTGACCTTTTCTTTTTACACTTTTGTTTTTTTATTGCTTAATTATCTTAGTGCATAAGTTTTGAAATATAAAATTTGAATAAACTTCCAATTCAAAAAGTTACTGATAAGATATCTTAAAACACAATATTTCCTCGATAAAAAAAATTAATAACAAATATATAACTCTAATATACTTAAATTTTAAACTCAAAATTCTAAACTTAAAAATAAAATAGGAAAATATTTAATAGAATAAAATTATATTAAAAAAATCAATCAACTTTTAGTTTAAAGAAGATTGAATAATTAATTTGATTATTAAAAATTCATAAAAGTTTAAAAAATAAAAATGACATTTTTAAAAAAATAACTTTTATATATCATATTTATCATGTATTTAATTTAGATCTACATGTTATTAGTAAAATAGAATTTATATTTTTGTTATTATTTAACTATAAGTTAATTCTTATATACAATGTCTAAATTATATTAATAATAATATCTAAAATCTTATTTAACATAAATGTAAAACTAAAAATTATTTTGATTTATTTATTAATATTCAATAATTAACTTAAAAAAAACGTTTCAAGAACAAAAGATCCTTCAAAATGGAAAATAATATTTTAAAATTTTAAAAAATTAAAATTGATAAACAGCTTTAATATAAGTTGGTCCAATTGGACTTTCCATTTGTACAGTTGAAACTCGAAGAACCAAAATCATAAAATTAATTTTGAAATATTTATCGCATCTTTAAATAATTGACTACATTTTTTTTGCATTAATCACTTGTATAAAAATTAAAATCAATAATTGAACATAAATCCACGATCATACCACTTTTAATTTATTTTTCTCAAAAAACGAAATTTCAAAACCGTTCCGCTTTCACCTTTCTTTCTCTTCCCTTCGCACTTCGCAGTGAGTTAGAACTTGAGAATCATGAGAGTGACTACGGAATACTGATCGGCGATAGCGAACTACTTCCGTGTAATGGCGACCTCTGTTGCACTCGGCGGTACTCTCACGGCGCACGAGCGCACTATTCTGACGGCGGTGAACGCCGGAGCGTCGAGTCTGTCGTTGGCCGGTTCCAGCTTTATTGTACTCTGCTACCTCCTCTTCAAGGAGCTTCGCAAGTTCTCCTTCAAGCTCGTTTTCTATCTCGCCCTCTCTGTATGGTTCCTCTTCACCAGATCTAAAACCCTGTGTTTCCTCTCTGTAATTTAAACATTGCTTCTAATTCTTAATTCGTTAGTTTACTAATACTTCGCACGATTTGCAAAATCGGCGTGGTTAAACGCACTCTGGCCTCGTCAATTGAATTTACGGACAGTCAGTTTCATATGAATTTTTTTTTCTTAAACCTAATTGCTTGCTTTTGTACTCAATTTCTAGTTGATTCTTTTCATTGGCGTGATTAGTCGATTAGGTTTTGGAACGAATGAGCATAAAATTACTGTTTCCGAAGATAAATTTTACTGAACTTGTGACTCCAAGTAGTTCTACAATTAGGAGCTTAATGATGGAGAACCTTAGGTTAAGGTTAAATTTTGCCAAAATAAAAAATAAAAAATTGGGGGTCTAAATATACTTCAGTTTGTTTAAGAATCTTATTTATGTGCTAGTGAGCTAGCAAATAAATGACATTGATTGGATAAACTTCTCAAAATACTAATTGTCTTATAGGAGAAAAAAGAAGAAGATAAAACGAGTTCATCTTTTTCTATAAAAATTAGCTTATCTATATGCTAGAATTTCTCTTGATTAGTTTATTCAGATCTTGATTTCAACTAATAAATAAGCCAATTTTTAACTTATGGGAAAAACTAAGTTCAATATACTTTCTTGGTTTCTTCTCCTACAAGTGATTCTTGATAAATTTACCCCTAAACAAGACCATAGTACGATTGTCTGTGCTATTTATTTGTCGTAAAAGTTATCAGGTATTACCAGATTGTTATTGACTTGAGTTGTGATTGTAAAAACTACTTTGATTTTGTGTTGATAAAAACTGTTAGATTGCTGGGCATGTATGCTAAGAAACTAACTTTTGTAATTTATTCCTCTTGTTTCTTCATGCCCTTTATAATGCTGTTTTATAATTGAAAGAAGTATGGTCTTTGGCATTCTATGAACCTTATGTGTCTGTTCCTTTGCGCTGGTTATTTGGTTATTCATGCCCTTTTTTCTTTTCTGATCCATAATGCTCTTTTTATTACATGTTTGTTGATTGCAGGATATGCTTTGCAGTTTCTTCAGCATAATAGGGTATGCATGCCTCTTCAAATGTATGTATTAACTGAAGTTGTTCATCATATGATTGATAGAAATTTCATTTTGATACAGGGACCCGTCCAAAGGTTTCTTTTGTTATGCTCAGGGCTATAGCACACATTTCTTTTGTGTGGCATCTTTTCTCTGGACTACAACAATTGCTTTTACCCTGCACCGCACTGTGGTAAAACACAAAACTGATGTTGAAGATTTAGAGGCCATGTTTCACTTGTATGTCTGGGGTATGCAGCTATGTATAAATCAACTTTTAATATTCAAGCTTTGGGAAACAGCTTAGTTTGCCATAATCTTCACATTCTGTAACTTCCCAACCCCATGTTGTTTAATCTGAGAATTATTTTTTAGAGCAAATTAATGCTAATGAAATGTCTTTAGATCTTGGTTATGTAATAGTACTTCCTTCTATGTTTTAGCTCAATTATTTCATTAGGAACTTGCTATTCTGAGAGCTCATTTGGTATATCTTTTTTCTTTGATAGGTACTTCCCTGGTTATGACTGTTATGCGCTCCTTTGGTAATGACCATAGACATTTTGGTGCATGGTGTTGGACTCAAACAGGTCTCACAGGGAAGGCAAGTAATAATAGGAGACTAGGAGTGCATACCTCGCAGTGATTTTATATATTTTTGCTGAATGGTGTTTTTATCGTTATACAAATAGTGTACTTGGATTTTTAATTAGCTTAAGAGGCTCCTACACGGAGAGTAGTTTTCTTTCCTTTCAAATTAAAAAAATAGTAAATTGATATCAAATGTAATTTTAATTGATTCTTTTAAAGTTATGGAAGTTTTCTTTCATAAATGTAGGAAGGGGTAAATTGTGGTGTGGGTTTTTTTAATCAATTTGTAATGACAATTTGTTCACCCCTTTAAGGTACAGTAACACTATAACATTAGGTGCTTCAGTTAAAGTACAAAAGATACTATCTCCTTTCAATAGTTGTGTAGATATTTGGAATACATGGTTTAGAGTCAAGTTTTCCCCCAAATAATTTGACATTCTCTAAATACAAATGGATTGGAAATGAAAGTAAGGATTTGGTTGCCAGTGAGAAGAATATTTTCCTTGTAGCAACCCTTTATTATTCAAAATCAAATATATAGTTATTAACATGGAAGTGGTTGAAAATGACAACTGAAAAAAGTTCATTCAAGATATTTTTAGAAGCAGATGTTTTTTCTATACAGCATTCTTTCTGCCTTTTTTTTAGGGTCTAGGATGCTCGTCATGATGACATTATCTAAAAGTAGTTTGTGATGGTACTAAAGATTAGAAAGAAAGTAGACTAACAACAGTCATCTCCCAATTTTTTGCAACTTTACGTTGTTAATATATTGTGTATATGTATCATGTTTATCAGATTACTCATTACACTGCTAATTTTTCTTTTTCTTCTAAAAGTTAATTCCTTTTTCTATGCAGGCGGTTCATTTTGTAACATTTTACATGCCACTCTGGGGTGCAATTCTGTATAATGGGTTTACATACTTTCAAGTAATACGCATGCTGAATAATGCAACCCGTGTATGTACCTAAATTTACTGGTTCTTCCTCAAACAAAACAAATTGCTTGTTTAGGCACTTCTTGTGACCTTATTTTCTTGTTTCATGGAAAATTTCAGATGGCCGTTGGTATGTCAAGCCAAACTTTTGTGTCAGATACAAGAGATAACATGAGGGTATTTTATTCTATTATCACCAGACTCCAAGATTTAAAATATAAGGATCCGTATACATGTATTGAGAAACAATCCCTCCCCCCCAAAATTAATAAAATAGAAAATACTAGATTCACTTTTATTTGTTTCTAGCAACTGTATGCTAGTGATCCTTAGTGCCTTTAATATCTAATAGTTTACATTCTGTCATGAGGCTTTTTGATTATAATCTTTATTTTTGTGCAAATGCATTATTTAGGCTGGGTTTGTTTGGATTACGAATGTGTTTGGTAGAGACGGGAAAAGTAAGTTAGACGGAAATAAGTTGGTCGAGTGGAAATAGATGAGAAATAAAATGAACTAAGTGTTTGGTTGAAGAGAAATTGATAAGAGGGATGATGAGATAGACAGAGAGATGAATAGAAATAGGTGAAATTATTTCTCTCCTCCTTCTACCCCACAAAACACACAATTATATCTATCTTCACCAATCTTCACTCATCCTCTTAACCAAATCCACCGTAACGGAAGTTTTCAGACAAGATATGTACATTATAATGTATTTCACACAGAAAATTTCATGGATAAAATAAAATTAATACTCTTCTATGATTTCTAATGCAGTTTAGAGATATTCACTCCTTAATTTTTCATTGTTGCATTTCATTGATTAAATTAGTATTCATCCTCAAATTAAATTGCTTAAAAGGAAACTGCTATAACCAGTTGCATCTACATTTTCACTGATCTGTTGTGTTTTCTGTTTCTCACTTCAGGCTCTGAATCGCTGGGGATACTATCCACTAATTCTGATCGGATCATGGGCTTTTGGAACTATTAACCGTATTCATGATTTTTTTGAACCCCACCATAAGATCTTTTGGCTCACATTTCTTGATGTTGGGACGGCTGCTCTTATGGTATCAGCAAATAACCATACTATTTTAATTTTAGCTATATTTTCTGTTCACTGAATTTTCTCTGGAGACTCAGCATGGTTGTTCTATGTTTTTAAATCCTCTGTTTTAAACTTTCACCTCCAGTGATCTCCTACTCCTAGCTCCCACCTGGAAGATTTTTATTTTTGAACTCATCATAATAACAATGTCTTCACTACTAGTATGTTAATAACATGTTTAAATGAATTATCTAGTATCACAGATACATCTTTTGTTTTAGTCCCTACACCCAAAAAAGCTACCCCTTTTAGTACCTACAAATTTTGGATGGAATGGAGTAAAGCGGATTAAGAAGTGCATGTGTTGAGACTAAAACATGTAAGATGATATGTGAAAATGAGTATTGGACTTGTATAAGGACAAAATGAATGATTAAAACATTTGATGTTGTGAGAAATCAAATAGTATTTTAGGAAAGAATAAATAAGGAAATTTGTATATTTCCTTGTAATCTGTACAGATTTGAATAATTAGGAACAATCCCATAAATCAAGGGATCCTAGCATAAAATAGAGTTATTATATTTCCTAAAATAGTTTAGGTCTCTTGTATATATCTTATATCATCTCTTTGTATTGAGAAAATAAAATAAATCATATTTCAGTTAATCTATTTTTCCAGATGGTATCGAGCTTCCTATCTAGGAAGCTCTGTCCTGCTCCGATAAACCCTAAGACGGCGGCACTCGCATTGCCGCCGCATATTTTGTAACCCTAAGACGGCAGCCTCGCATTGCTGCTGCATTTTTCTTAACCCTAAGACGACAACCTACATTGCTGCCGCATTTTTCTTAATCCTAAGACGACAACCCGCATTCTGCTGCATTTTTCATAATCCTAAGACGACAGCACTGCATTGTTGTTGCATCGCACCTTTTTGCTATAATGTCAAGGGAAGAGGAGATAGAAAGGGTGAAAACCATTCTTAGTAAGCTCGGAAAAACCTACAAGTATGTGTTCTTTGGCATACTCGGGTAAGTTTCCACCTTCTTTTGGATTAAATGTCTCAGATATGCCTTTTAACCATTATTGGATATTGGACTCTGGAGCCACAGATCACATGACACCATTAGCCAAACACTTCTCCACATATTCCCCATGTCCCAAGAACAAGAAAATTGCCACAAGCAGATGGAACCCTTATAACTGTAGCTGGTCAAGGAAATATCCAAATCAATCCTTTAATAACCTTAAAAGACGTTCTCCATGTCCCAAAGTTGTCCACGAACCTAGTGTCTATACAAAAACTTATAAAGGATTTGTCATGTAAAGTTATTTTTTCCAATGATCATTGTGTATTTCAGGATAAGGATTCGGGGAGGATGATTGGACATGCTAGAGAATGGAATGACCTTTATTATCTCGAAGATCCAAGTCTACCCAAGCAAGAATAGAATCTCTCACTCCTTCATATCTCGAATCCTTGATGACCAACAGAGAAAAAATCATGTTTTATCATTGTCTGGTTGGGACATCCCTCTTTTGGAGTGATCAAAATTATATTTCCCTCTCTGTTTACCAAGTTAGATGTTGAGAGTCTTCATTGTGAGGTGTGTGAACTTGCTAAGCACAAACGTATATCTTTTCCAATAAGTAATAGAATTAGCAATTTCCCTTTTTATCTTGTTCATACTGATGTATGAGGACCTTCTAATATTCCAAATGTGTCTGGTACTCGATGGTTTGTCACCTTTATAGATGACTATACAAGGGTCACTTGGGTTTTCCTACTTAAACAAAAATCAGAAGTCAGTTCTGTCTTCCTAAACTTCCACTCCATGATAAAAAATCAGTTTGGTGTTAATATTAAGAGGCTTAGGTCAGATAATGCCAAAGATTACTTCAATCATGTCCTTAATTCTTTTTGTCAAAAAGAAGGTATAATTCATGAGTCCTCTTGTGTCAAAACACCACAACAGAATGGGGTTGCAGAGAGGAAAAATGGACATCTATTAAATCAGACTCGGGCATTGTTGTTCCAAAAAAGTGTCCCAAAAAATTTCTGGGGGGAAGCTGTCCTTACAGCAACATACCTTATCAATAGACTACCCTCTAGAGTCTTAGGATCAAAAAGCCCTATGGAAGTTTTGTCGTCTTTCTATCCAAACTTGTCTACTACAAATAATCTTAAACCAAGAGTTTTTGGGTGCATCTCATATGTCCATATTCATAGTACAGACAGGGGAAAACTTGATCCTAGAGCCTTAAAGTGTGTCTTTGTTGGTTACTCACCCACTCAAAAAGGGTATAAATGCTACCACCCCCCATCCAAAAAATTCTGTGTCTAGGGATGTTACCTTCAATGAACAAGAGGGCTATTTCCATCAACCTTATCTTCAAGGGGAGAGTTTCAGGGAAGATAAGGAAAGTAGTGATTCTGGTTTTCCCATTCTTCCAGACTTGACATTTGAACCTAAACGAAATCATATTGAAAGTAGTAATTCTGGTTTTCCCATTCTTCCAGACTTGATATTTGAACCTAAACAAGATCAAATTGAAGATCAAATTGAAGTTGTAACAAATGAAACAAGTCAAGGAATTGGTCAAGCAAAGGAAGTTGGTCAAGAAAGTGAAATTAATTGTGAAGCTGATCAAGAAGATGTTGAAACTGGAAAATTTGGTAAGAAGCTGGTGTACTCAAGGAAGACTAAGGCCATTCCAGGATCAAGCCATGTTCAAGAATCCAACTCGACTCCACAAAAAGAGGTAACAATTTTTTCTCCAGCTGTGCAGGTTGAAATTGAAACCCAAAATGATCCTGACCTCCCAATTGCCATTAGAAAAGGAACAAGAAAATGCACCAAACAGCCACTCTACCCTCTCTCAAATTACCTGTCCTTTAAAAATTTCTCTCCTACCCATAAAACCTTCCTAGTAAACCTAAACACCGTACTTCTACCTAATACCCTATCTCGAGGCATTGTCTCGACAGTAAAATGGAGGCAAGCCATGGATGAAGAGATGGAGGCATTGGAGAAAAACAACACTTGGGAGTTAGTCACCTTACCAATAGGAAAGAGGCCAGTTGGATGTAAATGGGTCTATACAAGTGAAATACAAGGCTGATGGATCAATTGAGAGATATAAGGCAAGACTAGTTGCCAAAGGGTTCACCCAAACCTATGGAGTTGATTATTTGGAGACCTTTGCTCTGGTTGCCAAAATGAACACAAGTTAGGGTGATATTGTCCCTTGCTGCCAATTATGGTTGGAACTTGGAACAATTTGATGTTAAGAATGCTTTCCTACATGGAGACCTTGAAGAAGAAATCTATATGGAGATACCTCCGGGATATGGTAAAGATGTTGCTACCAACACCGTTTGCAAGTTGAAAAAGGCATTATATGGGTTAAAACAGTCCCCCGTGCATGGTTTGGCAGGTTTACTAAAGTTATGACAAGTCTGGGTTACAAACAAAGCCAAGGGGACCATACTTTGTTTTTTAAACATTCCAAGTCAGGGGGAGTAACAATATTATTGGTGTATGTGGATGACATAATATTAACTGGAGATAATAAAGAAGAGCAACAATTATTGAGTCAATGCTTAGGCAAGGAATTTGAGATCAAGACTTTGGCAAAACTAAAATATTTTTTGGGAATTGAAGTTGCCCACTCCGAGAAAGGGATATTTATATCTCAGCAGTAAATACATCACCGATTTGCTCAAGGAAACTGGCAAGGCAGCTTGCAAACCTCGCTAGTACCCCATTAGAACCAAACCTAAAGCTTGGAAATGCGGAAGAAGATGTTGCTTGTTGAAAAAGATATGTACCAAAGATTAGTGGGCAGACTTATATATTTGTCACATACCAGGCCAGATATTGCCTATGCAGTGAGTTTAATTAGCCAATTTAAGCATAGCCCAAAGGAGACCCATTTACAAGCTGCCCACAGAATTTTACAGTACCTTAAAGGAACTCCAGGGGATTCTATTCAAAAGGAATGGTAATGTGAAACTTGAAGCCTATACTGATGTTGATTATGCAGGGTCAATTGTGGATAGGAGGTCAACTACAGGATATTGCACCTTTCTTGGAGGAAATCTTGTGACTTGGAGAAGCAAAAAGCAGGGTGTAGTGGCTCGGTCCAGTGCTGAAGCAGAATTCCGAGCCATGACACAAGGTATATGTGAGTTGCTATGGCTTAAAATCATCTTAGAAGACTTGAGGATAAAGTGGGAAGAACCTATGAAGCTCTATTGTGATAATAAGTCAGTAATCAGTATAGCCCACAACCCAGTGCAGCATGATAGAACAAAGCATATTGAAGTAGACAGACACTTCATCAAAGAAAAGCTTGATAGTGGCTTGATATTCACTCCATATGTGTCCTCTCAAGACCAAATTGCAGACATTCTTACCAAGGGACTGGGCTGCCGTAATTTTGAGAAGATTGTATCCAAGCTGGGAATGGAAAACATCTATTCACCAGCTTGAGGGGGAGTGTGAGAAATCAAATAGTATTTTAGGAAAGAATAAATAAGGAAATTTGTATATTTCCTTGTAATCTGTACAGATTTGAATAATTAGGAACAATCCCATAAATCAAGGGATCCTAGTATAAAATAGAGTTATTATATTTCCTAAAATAGTTTAGGTCTCTTGTATATATCTTATATCATCTCTTTGTATTGAGAAAATAAAATAAATCATATTTCAGTTAATCTATTTTTCCAGAGATGTGTTTATGCATTTGACTTGATTGGTGTTATTCTAGCATCTTTAAGCTAAAAGTACAAATATTCATTCAGACATCTTGTGCTTATAATTATGATTTTACAAGCTTATAAAAAGGTATATTTGGGGGTTTAATCACTGAACCACAATAAATGCAATAAGTTAAATGGTACTAAGAGGTTTGATATAATTCCAATTAATGCGGCATGTAGATGTACACTTTTATTACCATTCTAATTGTGTCAGCATTACCTCCTAGCTTTTTGGTGTGGACGTGTCTTGCCACTAGCATGCCTGATTTGTTTTGTAGCTTAACACTTACCAGCTACGCTTCTATTCTCTCTATTCCTTCATCTTCATCTCCTTAGATAATCTTGTGCTTTTCCAAGTTGAATTTTCTCAATGATTATTCTTTGGGGTTCTTAGAATATGGAATTAGGTGTAACTCCGCCTTACAAGTTGTAAGGTGAATTTTGCACCAATTTATATTATTATAATTTGGCTATATCTATATTTGATGTGCTATCTTTAACACAATTCAGAAATTAGATTTTAACCCTATCTTAATCTCACAAAACCAGTTTATAAGGTGAGGTTTGCACCTATTTATATACTATATTTGGTTATATCCAGTGTAGTTAAAACCAAGAGAAAAATTGTGGAATGGATTCTGCGATTATGCACCATGTTTCATGTTTCTCGTAAAATCATGAAATCGTCGAATCTTGGAAGCTAGATAGAAAAAACCCAACCCCGCATTATATCCCAACCCCGCGCACCTCTCTCCCACTTCTCCCTCACTGCAAACATGAGTCATCATCATTGCTGTCGTCGCGGCTGCTTGCGTCACCACTATCGCTGCTGCTGTCTTTGCCACCATTGTTGCTCTGCATAAAAGTAGAAAGGTGTGGAAGGGAAAGATAGACTGGGTCCTGGAATCTGAAAAAATAGAGTAAAATAGAGGGATGCAAGTGAACGAGAAAAGGAGTGAGGCACATGAAAGATAGGTATGTAGATTGGGGGAAAGGAATAGGAAAAAAAGAAAGAAGTGGGTTGGGGCGTATAGGGGTGTAGATGGGGGAAGAGCAATAGGAATAGTTTGTTAAATATAAACTTTTTGAATAAAAAATTATTATTAATTAATTAATAGTTATTGATATATAATTTTTTTATATTATTGTAAGATTTAATTATGGTTATAAAAATTTATTATTAAATAATTATATAAAGTTAATATATATATATATATATATATTAATTCAATTTATTAAATTTAAATATATTGATCATATTTATTTAAAAGAAAAATTATCTATATATATATATATATATACATTGTAAGTCAATATTATATAATAACATATTATATTTATATAATCTAGGATCTTCAATCTGTGTTATGATATCACGATTTACGATTTTGTGAGTTCTATACGATATTACTTGAAATCTCGATTTTGATAACCTTGGTTATACACTAGATCATTGCATTGTATCCCTGCAGGTAGTCATTTTCTGTTCTGCTAGTATGTTCTGCGCTTTTCAAGTAAATGTAATGGCTTTCCTTGGTGATTGGTACTGATTTGATGATGAGATGATGAGTCAATCAAGTGCAACTTTGTGATCAATACTGTTGTGTTTTATCTTGCTCAGCTATCTCACTTCATCTTCGTGTTGCAGGGCCTCTTTAACTCAATTGCTTATGGTCTCAATTCTTCTGTTCGCCGGGCAATTTGTGAAAGACTGGACAAGTAAGTACTACTTTATTCATCTTTGAGAGATTCAACTGGATTTTTTTTCTTCTAATTCTACTTTGGTCCCTTCTGTTTCAAGGGCAGTCTAGTTGTAATATCTTCTCCCGTATTCTGAATATACTGTGTACACTTTGATAAGAACTGAAGCACTTGGGGAATCTAGTGGTTGAGGGGAGAGAACTAAACACTTATTTGAACATCACGTACTACTACTGATGTGAGCCTTAGACACTCTATGATACAGAAGCATTTATCATTCTGAGAGCCGACATCTCAGTACTCACTCTATGACACTTTACTGACAAATATTCATTCAACTTCCATATTGGTTAGGAATTCTCTAGCAGTTAAAATCCTCCATAGGTGACTCTTTCTGAGACACAGACAACCAGCTCTAATACCAATTGATAAACACACAAGTAGTTGAGGAACCCACCCTTAAAGCCAGCTGTTACGGGGAAGAGAATCAAACACCTACATATTCTATGAGCATCCCGTAGTACCGAAGTTCCTAACGCCGCACATGTTCTCTTGCATTGCTGTTCCTCTGGTGTGTGATACGCATGCTGCCCTGCCAGAGCTTGTTTGCTATGCCACGGTTTGGAAAAAAAAAATGTTGGGAAAACATAAAAAACTGAAAAAGGAAAGATTTTTGAAAAATGAGGATTAAATATTATAAGCTTGCCTACCTTGGGCAATTTTTGGACCAAGCTTATCAAGAGCCCTATCCCAGTCAATTTGCCCACATTCATGCACAATTAACTGCCTGTAAACTATTTTTTTATACACAATCTGTAATATATAATGAAACAGTTGTGAAAAAGCACGAAAGAAACATCTTCTCATATAGTGACTTTTCCGTACCAGATAAAGTGGTCCTAACTGAGCAAGAATATAGACAACATTGAAAAAATAATCACAAAAGTCATGCAGCCTATAGAATAATAACATATGTTTATGTACTTGTCGATACACTCTAATTCACAACTCATTTTCTCTAAATGTTTTCTAATATATTAATGAAACAATAAAATTTGGGCTTAGTTTAAAAAAATAGTGAGGAATGTAGAACAGAAGAATGATATGTAGTTAGTTCAGGTGATACATGTTAGATTCTCCTTATGCAAGCTCTTGATTTTCCTTCTCTATGGAAAAGATCCTCTCTTGGAGAGCTAGTCCCAGCTTAAAGAGGTTTTCCTCATGTAGTTTTTAGAGGATACCTATGGTCTTTAGATCTTTAAAAAAGATTTCTTATGAAAAGTATTTTTTGTGCTTAAAGAAAAATGAGGAATTTTATTTATTTCATATAATAAGGATTGTCAAATGAATGGATTGGATTATTTTTTATTCAGCAGATTATAATGTAGATAGATTAAAAACAATCAATTTACGGCCAATTAAGCTTTCATGAAAATATCCAATTCGCCTTAATTCCAATTAACAAAAATCCACCCATTAGCATTTTATGAAAGGATATTCAACCTATCCACAATTTTTTTTAGAAGTCAAATATTTTTTTATGATTATTTCAAAAATACTCATTTATCTACAAAAAATTTTGAAGTTCTCCTTAAAGAGGGTCATCCTTAAAGAGGGTCATCCGATTTCTTATATAAGTAAGGCTATGGGACCAAAGTACAAGTTGTTATCAGCTTATGAAAAGGAATTTTATGCAGTTCTATTTGCAATAAAAAAATGGCAACACTATTTGTGGGGAAAACATTTCATTATTAAAACTGATTAGAAAGCACTACAACAATTATTGTTACAACCACCTACAACTTTGATGCAAAATTGGGAATTACAGAAGTTAATGGGTCTCGATTTCAGTATTGAATACAAAAAGGGAAAAGACAATCATATCTTTTTATAGTATAGTGTAACATGTTAGACATCACTATAAAACTCTAAAAACTCAACTAAGTTGGCACCTCAAGGTCCATTGATCATTTGCTACTTGTTAAAATTCATTTTAAAGAAAAGCATTTATTTTATTGTTTTTTTAAGATTATTTTATGAATAAATAGTTATTTTTAAAACTTAAGATATGTTTTGATTTTGATTCATAAAGTGTTAATTAGATGATCTATTGTATTTGAAAAGAAGATAGGATGGGCTGTTATCCATCCATTTAATTATATAATTAATCCATTCAATCCGATCCAGATTTTTTTTTTTGTTAATTGATTGGATTGAATCTTACCAGGATGTATCATGAACAAATGAATTGTTTTACCATCTCTACTTGTAACCAATTGTTGAAGAATTTGATAATATGAAACTTCTTTCGGTAGTGTGAATGTTGCGCTTGTCAAATTTGTGTAAAGACTATGGTGTCTTCAGTCTTTGCAGAGACTTGAAAACTTGCATGAGCACCATTCATTTCACACATTTTAGCTTCATCAGTTGCTTTGATGAGACAAAGGTGAAAGGTGCCCGCCTGTGAGGGGGATTTTGAGCATAGGCATTCAGGGAACAAAGAAATGCATTCACAAGTACTTTAGTGAGAGGGACTGAAAGAAGAAATGATATTATAGAGCAGAAAGTCAGGCGATGTGGTTGGCAACATGGGTTAATATCCTTCTCCACAATGCATAGCATTCAATTTCCCTCCCCCTTATTTCGTATCCACGGGTCATTTCTTGTGTTGAACCAGTCTCCGAATTTTTATGTGCACCAACCTTTGAGGAATCAATTTGGGGGTATTTGGTGCAGAAGGTCCAAAATTTATGACGCTGCTGTTTCCTTTTTCAACCTTACAAAAATTACGTTTATCACTTATTCAATTTTACTATTTAATTATAGATTCCTCTTTCGTTCTTGCTTTATGCAGTACATTCAATTTTAAATCATGTAACCAAATTTACTTCTCTCATTTATCTTATGCCAGGTTCTGGCCTGAGAGATTAGCCAGATGGCTCCCTAACAATTTGAAGTACAAGAATCTACAGCAAGAAAATGAACTAGTTTTGTTCAAAACCGAAGATCAATAGCAGTGAATGGGATATATTGTGATCTTTCGTACCATGTTGTGACATTTCTTATTCTAGTTCACTGAGATGCTGTTTACCTAGACAACAGATGATCTGTAGGCAGCAAAGGTTCCAGGCTATTGTCGCTCTGCTGCTTCAATTATGTGAATCGTGGCATTCAGTCACTGAATTTATAGTACTGGTGATCCTTTTCAAGCAGATCAGAGGATGGACCAATTAATTTGGAATCTGCTACAGCTAGTTGAAGACTACTTGTGACTGCAGAAGTGCTTTTATCTTTTTCGCATAAGTCTCGACCTCTCACTGATTTATCTTTAACATGTCTTGACTTATATAGCTTCACTGTATGCCCTTGTATCCAGTCCTAATTTCCGCAATTGAATGTTTTCGTAAGTTTATTAGGTTGTATGTATAGGTTAGATGCATTTTCAGATTGTTACAATTTGCCGAACAAATTTTTCCCAAATTTGCTGTGTATGTGGTTCGTGAGACCTATAGCAGTACCAAAGATTGAAGCTCATGCCCGCATCGTTTATTTTTTATTTTTATTTTTTCCATCTGTGTAGATTATACTAAGCGAACATAAAATAATTTAGATTTTGTATCTGGACAACATAAGGAACAGTTGTCCTGAAGTTGAAGCAATAATTTAAAATGACTTGAGCCGCAAGTATTTTATCTCTGTTTTTCGCGGAACAACCATATACTACCTGAAGTTTATTTACAGAGGTCCATTTTCCTGATGCATCTTGTCACCCTCACCCAACGCCTTTTCATTCTAAAACATTCTAGTGTGTACAAATTTCTGATCATATGTAAAACTTCATTTTCTTTTTCTTACCAACTGCCATTTAGAGTGAAGGTTTCTACCAATAGTTTTTGTATGACTTGCAAGAACATAAGCTACATATGCACACGGTAGGGTTTCTCTTCTGTTTCATGTTTCTGGTAGGTAGAGGCTGATGATTGTGTTTATGAAAAATAAATTATTTTGTCGGGCTCGTTAAATTATTCCAATACATCTTTAAATTAGTTGACAATTTTTAATCAAGTCTCTAGATAATTTTCATATTGAGCATCTGAATTTACATTTGTTTTTGAGTTTTTCTGTATAATATAGTAAATAAATTAACCACGGACTTGACCAAAACTAATCAGAGACATCTAATCAACAAAAAAAATCTCTCACGGCCTTCACCCAATGTAGAATTGTAAATAGTGTATATTTTCTTAAAAAAATTCTTCAAAATAACATACAACTCATCCATTAACGGCACATCATTCACCAACACAAAATTACACACAACAGATCTCAAAGAGACCAACCAACCCAATTCACTAATACACAAGAACCACATTAAACTACTAAAACCCTAAGCACAGGCACAAGAACTATCAACAACGATCGCATCGCCCTCCCCCTCGTCCCTAAACAAAAAATAACCAATTGTAAGACCCACCGCAATGGCCACAAACACACCTCCATTGAATGACATAATCGCCAACATCAACAAAAACCCGATCCCCGAGTTCACACCAAACAGAATCGCTTCCGCAAACTTAACCCCCAACCTCGTCTTACCCCGCACCGCCCCACAGGAGCGGCCTCCGGATCATGACAGAGAGAGGAGAAATGTAATAATACATAATATAAGCTATTAAAAAATAAATAATTTTGTAATTAGTTGGAAGTTAGAAGATATATAAATAGACTTATTATACACTTTGAGAAGGGAATGAAATAAAATCAGATGAGTTTTCCTCTACATTCTATATGAATTGTGAGTGAGTTAAGAGTTTAAACTTTCATATCAGTAAGCTAGTTACGTTTGGGACAATGGTGACCACGTATAGAATCAATTGATAAATTGGTCATCAAGGCTCAAGAATCGACAAAAGAAACGCTGGATTCTTTCCAGAAATCATAACGAAAGAATCAACGAAAGATCATAATTCAAGATGACGAGGAATGTGCTTCTTTAAAATGTGTGATTGAAAGAGCACAAATCCAATTTCCTTCGTACAAATCCAATTTCCTTCGTTTAACGGTACAAATTTCCGTGAATGGCGAGCAAGGTAGAACAATTTTTTGAGTTGGAATCCACACCGGTACATCAACGTGGCAGATTGCTTTTATTATCAATGGATGCGACAGCTTTTTCGTGGCAACGTCATTACATGCAGCAAACGTCTTTCAAGAACAAATTTTGGGAACAAATTCTTCAAGATATGGCATACCAATTTGATGATAGTTCTTTTGATGATCCAGTAGCTGAGATTTCAAGATTGAAACAAGAAGGTGAATTGATCGAATATTTGGAAGCATTTGATTCCTTATTGGCCCGGGTATCTGTTTCTAAATCCTTAGCTCTTAGTTTTTTTTTTGTCTGGATTGAAAATGGAATTGGAGAAATCTGTAAGGGTTCATAGGCCTCAATCTCTTCAAGAGGCTGTGCATTTGGCAAGATTGCAAGAAGACATATTAAAGGAAAGAGAGAGACAGAGCCAACAAAGGAGATGAAGATCCCTAGAGACACAATCAAGATTAACCAGATCATGGATAACTCCAACAAATTCTCAAAAAAGTCATTCCATCACTAGTCTTCAGTAGAATATCTCTCAAGATTCCAACACTGTTCCTACAACAAATAATTCCAGGAATGCATCTAGAAAGGAAATCAGTGAAAGGATAGCAAAAGGATTGTGTCGATTCTGTAGTGAAAAATGGGACAAGAATCATAGGTCCAAATGTAAGGATTGGGGTAAGCTTAATGCCATTTTTTGTGCTCAAGAGGAATTAGGTGATGATGAAGATATTGATCTATGTGGTGACGAAGAACAAGAGTTGATCAATAGTAGCTTAGCATTGGTTCAAGATCACGATGTGCATATTTCACTTAAAGCCCTACAAGGAGTAGCGGGAGGAAGTACTTTACAGTTAAGAGGATTAATCAAGAAACAGATGGTGCCTTTTCTAATGGACATTGGAAGTACCCATAATTTTATTGGGGAGAAATAGGGTCAAACTTCTTGGTTTAAAGACACAGTTCATTAAAGATTTTCTTGTGATGGTAGCATCGGATAAGAAGATTTTAATCACTAGGAAATGTGAAGCAGTAAATTGGAAATTTAATGACCATAACTTTACAATAGATTTTTTGGTTCTGCCAAGCAACACTTTTGGGGTGATTTTAGGCACGCAATGGTTCAAGACATTGGGAGAAATTCACTGGAATTGCAATAATCTTACTATGAAATTTACTCATCAAGATCAAGTTGTGACTCTTCAAGGAGAACAATCCTGTATGGAATTACGAGAATGGACTGGAAAATTTAGATTATTACAAGGCACATGTTGGGCGCTTGTTATACAAGATTCAAATTTATTAGTTGTGACTGATAAGGCGGATCAAGAAGAATTAACAGAAGACCAATCAGAACAATTACAGGTTGTCTTGGACAACTTTCAAAATCGGTTTGTTGAACCAACCCAGCTTCCACCCACCAGGAAGTGTGATCACAAAATTCAATTGACAACTAACACTCCTGTGTTTTCAAAGCCTTATAGATATCCTCATGTGCAGAAAGAGGAAATTGAGAAACAAGTACAACAGTTACTTTCAACTGGTTTTATCAGAGAAAGCAATAGTTCTTATGCATCTCCACTAGTGTTGGTCAAAAAGAAGGATGGCTCTTGGAGATGTTGTACTGACTTCAGGAAGTTAAATGCTATCACCATCAAGAACAAATTTCCTAAGCCACTTGTTGAAGATCTTCTAGATGAGTTAAATGGAGCTTGTTATTTCTCCAAGTTGGATCTCAAAAGTGGATATCATCAAATTAGAATGGTTGAAGAAGATATTTGCAAGGCTGCATTCAGAACATATAATGAGCATTATGAATGGGTTGTACTTCCTTTTGATTTGTGCAATGCTCCAGCAACCTTTCAGTCCCTCATGAATGATATATTCAGGAAGTACTTACGGAAGTTTATATTGGTGTTTTTTGATGATATATTAGTTTATACAAGGACTTGGCTAGATCATTTAGAGTGTTTAACGATTACATTGCAGATTTTGAAGGAGAATAATTTGGCCGTGAATTTTAAGAAATGTAGCTTTGGGAGGAAGACAATTGAATACTTGGGACATGTGATAACTATGAATGGAGTTCAACCAGACCAAGAAAAAGTCTCTGCAATTCAACAATGGCCTACCCCAACTAATGTCAAGGAACTCAGAAGGTTTTTAGGTCTTTCTGGATATTATAGAAGATTTATCTTGAATTATGGGAAAATTGCAGCACCTTTAACAGTGTTGTTGAAGAAAGACTCGGAATTCAACTGGACTCAGCATACTGAAACAACATTTCAACAGCTCAAGAAGTCATTAGTTTCTAAACCAGTCTTGAGGTTACTTGACTTTCAAAAAACATTTACAATTGAGACAAATGCATCTGGTGGAGGTATTGGTGCAGTTCTCCTTAAAGAGGGTCATCCGATTTCTTATATAAGTAAGGCTATGGGACCAAAGTACAAGTTGTTATCAGCTTATGAAAAGGAATTTTATGCAGTTCTATTTGCAATAAAAAAATGGCAACACTATTTGTGGGGAAAACATTTCATTATTAAAACTGATTAGAAAGCACTACAACAATTATTGTTACAACCACCTACAACTTTGATGCAAAATTGGGGATTACAGAAGTTAATGGGTCTCAATTTCAGTATTGAATACAAAAAGGGAAAAGACAATCAAGTAGCTGATGCATTGTCTAGAGTGGAGATTCAAGGAGGTCTAGCTGCTATATTGCACTTATCTACAAAGTTAATGACAAAAGCTATTCACTCTTGGAAATCTGATACAAAATTACAAAAGTTAGTTGATAAATTGAGGTTAGTTCAACATCCTTTAAAGCACTATACTTTTGAAAATGACATATTGAGAAGAAAGGGAAAAGTGGTGGTTGGATGTTAGCCAAGCCTCAAAACGAGGATTCTCAGTTTCTTTCATAATTCAGCAATAGGAGGTCATTCAGGTTCTAATTTAACATATAAAATAATTAAGGAGCATTTTTACTGGAAGGGTTTACAGCGAGAAGTTAAGAATTGGATTAAGGAGTGTGAGACATGTCAAAGGTTCAAGCCAATAAATCAATTACCAACAGGGCTTTTACAACCTATCCTCATAGGGCATGGAAGTCAATTTCTATGGACTTTATTACAGGATTGCCTAAGTCTAATGGGATGAGTATTATATTAGTAGTCATTGATAGGCTAACTACATATGCTCATTTCATGCCTTTAGGTCATCCTTTTACAACATCTAAAGTTGTCAATTTATTCATGAATAATGTGGTGAGGTATCATGGGTGGCCAGAGGAAATAATTTCTGATAAGGATCCAATATTTATGAGTAAATTCTGGGCTGCGTTGATGAAAGCACATGGGGTGCAGCGGCTGAAGTCCACAACTTTCCATCCACAAACTGATGGACAGATTGAAAATGTCAATAAAACTTTGGAAACTTACTTAAGGTGTGCTACTGGTGACATGCCTAAACAATGGATCAACCACTTAGCAATGGCAGAATTTTGGTACAATACTAAGTTTCATACTGCAACTCAGATGACACCCTTTGACGCACTATATGGTTATAAACCTATATTACCTAATTTAGTGAACAATAGTGAGAATGTGGTGAAAGTTGTTAACTATGTGGTGAAGACCAGAGAACAAATTGGAAAATTATTACAAGAGAATCTCAGCAAGGCACAGGAGAGAATGAAGTTGTACGCAGATAAAAGGAGGCTTGATAAAGAATTTAACTATGGAGACATGGTTTATTTGAAAATACAACCATACAAGCAACATTCGTTGGCAAACTCATTTTCACAAGTTATCAACTAGATATTATGGGCCTTACAAGGTGATCGAAAGAATTGGGAAGGTGGTATATAAATTGGAACTTCCAGCTGACTCTAAGATTCACAATGTCTTCCATGTGTCACTGTTAAAGAGACATCATGGCAATCACATAGTTACTGTTCGACTACCACAATTTAATGAAGATGGAGATTTGCAACCTAAACCAATGGCTATATTGGATAGAAGAATGAAACAGAAGCACAATCAAGCTATTACTGAAGTACTTGTGCAATGGGAGGAAAAAAATCCTGAAGATGCAACTTGGAGGGGGTTACATGATTTACAAGCGCAGTTCCCAGATTTTGAGTGGAGAGTGTGTGAAAGGACTTGAGGTCAAGTCCTTGTTTAAAGGGGGGGAATTGTAATAATACATAATAGAAGTTATTAAAAAATAAATAATTCTGTAATTAGTTGGAAGTTAAAAGATATATAAATAGACCTATTATACACTTTGAAAAGGGAATGAAATACAATCAGTTGAGTTTTCCTCTATATTTTATATGAATTGTGAGTGAGTAAAGAGTTTAAACTTTGACAAGAAATCATACTCATCAAATTGATTAGAAGCAATAGCGGAAGAAACTTCTCTTATGATTTGTTCCAACTTATCATAATTCTCACGAGATAATTTATAAGGGTGGATATTTTTTTTTTGCATCTCTTCTTTTTTCCTATTATATTAATTTTTTAAATTATGTTACAAAATAAT